CCTTTAATTTAGAATTTAAAAACTGGTCTCATTAATCAGTATTGAAATAATATTAAGTTTTGTGTCTAATGATTAACAGCTGACTGTCACTATCAGTTCTCTTTTTTTGATACAATTAAATGGATATCAGTTCACTTCGAGGACTTTAAAGTCCACGAGTGTTATATTTTGCACCTGATAGAGCAACGTAACTATATAATTATAACAATAAACCTCATTTCCAAGACATTTTTAAAGGGTTCTCAAAGGTCCAACAGGCACATGGATTTTTTCTTATCCTGGCATATTTCTGCAATGTCAGAATAAGGGAAAACATTTCTTTTGGAAGTTTCAGGTATTTGTAAAAAAAAAATCACTCTGATTCTTCACTGAGGTTGATATTAAAAGGATGCTGGAGGTCCTCATTGACAACATCTATGTAGTGTTTGGAGACCAGGTCTTCCAACCATCTGTTGGAATTCCATTGGACACTTATTGTGCTCTTATATTACCCGACCTATTTTTATATTCATATGAAGCAGATTGTATTCAAAACACTTCTACATGAGAAGAAAAAACACTGAGTTGCCTTTAACGCATCATTCAAATATATCCACGACGTTTCATCAATTAATAATTATCACTTCCATTCATACGTCGACTCGATATAGTCCAGTGAACTCGAAATAGAAGGCAACAGAGTCTGCGACATCTGTTTCATATTTGGACGTTTTACTGACTATAGCTAGAGACGATAAGGGCAACTTACAAATAAATTGTATGACAAACGACTTCAGTTTTTCCATTGTCAACTTTCCTTATTAGTCCGGAGGGGACTATAGGTGTCTACCTCTTTTTTCTGTCTGTCTGTCCCTCCATGTGTCTCTAGTTCTGTGCCACTTAGTTTTCCGCATTTTTCTTAAATGCTTGCATATGTTGAGCTGATTTTTAGTTTGTGAGGGGTGCCTTGATGAGTTACAGCTCAAGTTTACATTTCGTTCCGTTTCGCTGCTTTTTGATGGAATAATGGCCTTTTAAAATTTTTAAGGGGAGCCAGATTTCCTTCTTGGTTTTTCTGAATATTTTTCCTAAATGCAGATATTGAGCTGATTTTTTGATATGTTAATCTATTTTAATGAGTTTGGGTCAAGTTCGCATTTTGTTCCGCTTCAATGATTTTTATGAAATTACGGCCCTTTTTATTTTTAAGGAAAACTAGATTACGCTTGCCAGCAGGGGGCTAGAACTGCTTAGACAATACTCTCGGAATGCTTGTTAATGTAGTAATATTCAATTATTACCTGAATATGGTGTCCAGAACCTGCTCGGAATACGATCAATTTTAATAACCATGGCAGGATACTGACAGATAAGTTGATGTTGACTTCAACAACCTCGTTTAAAGCCATAAATATTAATGATAGGTTTATCCGCTAATAAGGTCATTATAACGATCATAAAATTTACGTAAATTTTATGACCGTTATAATGACCTTATTATCAGATACAACCAATCATTGGGTCATATTTTGACTGACATATTTCATACAAATTGTTAGGCCTTATTATGCTAAGTTTAACTACAGATTACTCTTTCTGATCAATGCATAGGGCTCACTGTGGGCGTGACCGGTCAACAGGGGATGCTTACTCCTCCTAGGCACCTGATCCCATCTCTGGAACACAACTTCACAGATATGTATTGTTTTAGGGTTTTTTTTTTTTAGAATCATCACCGTTCATTTTCTTCACATTTTCATCTTAGAATTTTATAAATACATTGTCCGTATATTTGGGTAGGTAAAGAATACAAATCCAGATACATGTGAAGAATTTATCACTAATGTATGAAACCATCAGCAAGACTACTGTATTTGTTGGTTAATTGAGTGAAGTATTTATAAAAATACTAACACTTCATTTCTTATTTGCAATTTTTTAACCAATGATATTATTCTGAATTCTAAAAGAAATTTTGATATTATTCATTTATGGAAGAAAATTCCTCGATCGTCTTCTTCTGCCAGCAACGTGAAGGGAACTCTACAAATAAAACGTTTACATGTAAAAACGTTCAATTTGTGGCATGTGTTTTAAGAATGAAAAAGGTAAATAAATCAATCAAAATAAATACATTAAAATCAAGTTAGCTATTTTGATAACGTATTTCTTGACTTACAAGTCCTTGTTTATCACAGATAATGGGAGGAGTAAACACACTTCTGTCCTTGATCCCGGTTGAAAAGTTTGAGTACAAAAGAAACTCAGAGTGGCCCTTTTCCTCTGTAAACATCAATTTACGTGTTAGAAAAGTAACAACGGCTTAACAACGTTATCAATGTAAACAACGCTTTAAAGAAACATAAAAGAGAAGTGTCCTTATTTTGTGAGGTCTCATGAACTCATGAAAGGTATAAAAACAATGAAATCTTTCACAGTTATCTCTCCTTTTGAACGTGAGTCCACCAGTACCCATTTCCAAGAATAAAATTTTTAGTTTATCTTGTTTACTGTTTGAAAAGTGTCCCTCTACTGGAATACAGTCCTCTGTGACAGTGATATACATGTCGTGGTTATCTTTGTTGTATTTATACATATGTATCGGTGTCTCTCTGGGTGGCTCTCCAAGATATGATTGTCCTAGGAAGTTAGCCTCCTCTAATATCAAGGAATAAAGAAGCTTTTATACAATGGCACTTGAAATTGATTTCAAAAAACAAGTTATTTCTTCTTAAGATTGTAGAGTTTTGTAGTGATGAAATGTTGACATGGCAGGAAAAGAATTCGGCGATAAGTTGTGTACCTTACCTGGTATACAAGGATCACTGAAATTTCCTAATGGAAGGATAAGACAGGCACCATTGGCCAAAACGTATTCTTTTCCCTTGGGTAAAAGATGTTACTTTTTTATTGTAAAACTGCACCTCTTTATAGTAATATGATACAAGTAGAAAATATTAATTAAGATTCACCAACATCTAATTTAGATGCTTACATGTAAAAAATTCTTATCTTCTTAAATAAAACTATTGTTTAATGTGAATGCATTTGCTATAATAACTATGCTATACTATCATGTACTATAATATTGCTTCAATTAGGCGGAAACTTGTCTTGGGGAGGGGGGATAGGAATCTATCATTAGGGTTCTATAGTGACATACATGTATTTTTGCTAATAAATTTATCTCTTTCTTCCAGTATATCTTCAGAATATAAGATATAGCAAATTAAAAAATTCTGAATAATATATCTTGACCAACTATGTTTTCACACCCTCTTTCTAGACAACGATGTTTGGAAACAAGATATAATACTTACTTCTTTATAGTCCATGATGATATTGGAAGTGACATTTTTGGTGTAGCTAATGGAATGTACTGCCATTTTTTTCTCAACAGTGTCATATGACAAACGCTGCATTCCCTTCAATATAAATTCACTTACTTTCAAGAGAGATTAAATGAGAAAATTTAAAAATGCGTTTGAAATATAAAATGTAAAACCGTACCCTGTCAGCAACACCAGTATTAAATTCTACTTGGAAGCTATCTATGGTAACTTCGTACTGTCTTGGTGGACAGCACTGCCCAAAAACGCCAACCACGTGAAGCAAAATCAGAAAGCTTCCGTCAGTCACCATTGTTTTCCGAGATATGTTTGGGAAGCGGCTAGTTCGGATTCTAAGTTTGCAGATCGTTACCACGTTGATAAAACTTTTCATCAGTGTAAGTAAACGCTATTATCGTGACCATAACTGTTGGGCAATGGAAGAGAGCGTATCGTGAAGCGGTCATCATTCTAGAGCTAGAAAGGCTTGCTGTAGCTTAACATGCCTGAAATCTAGGGAGACTATTGCATCACTAAAACTAAAAAAGCGAGCTCACTAGCTGGCAGTATAACTTCCCTATATACGCTACACTAGTAATCGTTTACAAATTACAATTGATATACAATGACAGGGCTATTCAACTTGACAACACAGGGCTAGATGCTTATGGACCATATGAGTTTAGATTTGATTTTTTTTCAGCACTAGTACAAATATTTGACAATTTGAATTCAATTGTTAATTTTAACTTTTTTCAAAACCATATTAACACATTTCGACGACTACTTTTGTTTTCCTTTTGTTTAGAATTGCATAATTATTTAATTGAATCTATTACACTGAACATACAAGGTCTGGAAATTTAATCAAAATTCTTGATCGTATAAAGAGACCAATCTCATAGATTATATGTGGAATGAACCTGAATAATTTCTTTATGAGATCATGAAATTTAAGTGAAATGTATGGAGATAACGAACAGTATTCAAGCTCAAAAGTCCATTAAACATTACAAAAAAGGTACAGATCAAACACGGACCTCCAAAACATTAGAGGTGGGATCAGGTGCCATGGAGGAGTAAGCATCCCCTGCCGACCGGTCACACCCGTCGTGTGCTCCTTGTCATGAACGGGAAATAACGGAAAAATTCGTCGACCATTCAGTGTGTAAATAATGGCCTAACAATTAGTATGAAAAACGTCAGTCAGCATTTGATTCTATGATGAAGAGTTTTCAATGAAGAGTTTTATAAAACTCTTTATAGGCTGTTTATCACTTCCTTATGATAAAAACTATTTTACATAATGTATAATTTATTTTTCATTATATCTATAAAATTTATCAAATAAACATATATTTTTCCCCACTTTTCGATTTATTTTCTGCTTTTATTGAAAAAAGATTTCAAGTTTTATTAAACTCTTATATTGAAAACTTTATAATAGGAAGAAATCTTGAAACAGTGAAGACAAAAGTGTTGAATTCAGGTCATCTTTAATTTTCTCCACGTGTTAAATTGAACATTGAACAAGAAGAATCCTTATGTCTGCTAAAAAATTCAACATCTGAATGATTCTATGAAATATATACAATGTACAATGTTATGTTATTTAGTGGTTATTGTTATGTTCAAGAAAGGTTGCAGCCTTCATCTCAGAGGAAAGGTTTACTTCGATATATTCTAAGACGGCTAGTTAGGAAAGAAGGAATATCTGACTATACCGTGACTCTTGTATCCTGAAAAGACAACAGTATATGAAAAATTATACAAACCTTCCCATGACTTTGCTTTACTCTATTTTATGAAATATTTTTTTTTTTTTTATAAATATTAAAATGTAAAGTATTCCCTTATCAACATTTCAGCAAAATAAAGAAAAATTTCAGACAGAAAAGTTTTTAAAAAAAAATCATACTTGCCTGTTTAAAGCATATCTCTGGAGGTGTAAAGATAGATAAATCTTTAATGCCCATGGTCATATTATAGAAAATTCTCATCAACTGTCCATCTGTAAAGGGATTATTGAATATGTCACATAACCTGAATTTCCTAGTATTTGTCAACGCTTTAGGGCATAAGCAACGTAGTTTGAACTTTAATGTCCTTTCCCCTGTAGTTAAAGAGTCCCAATACTTAAAGGAATTGTTTGCTACATTTTAATCTCTATATATGCTGTTGTATACTTCTTCTAAAACAAGTTTGGATAAACAAAACATAAAGAATATATGTTTAGTATTTTTTAAGAATATCTTGAAAAATTATCAGTAGGTAAGGTGCGTTGCATATGTCCTTAAACATAAGTTATGGGACTTTTTTGAGAATACATATGGATCAAATGAGATACATATTTTGTACCAGGTTGAGGGGTCTTTGAGGAAATGGAAACCATCTCTACAGGGGTACAATTCTCTCCCACGGTAGTTAATCCCATCAGGCTGCTTTCTATAGTCACCATGTAGGTCTCCAACTTCATAATATGAGGAGACACACCCATAAAAGAATGCCGGACTAAATGGGCTCCGACTATGATATAAAGTTTATGATTTACACGTAGAAGTAAAATAGACGGATATAACTCTAACTTGTTTTCTACGATCTGTAGTCATTTTTTTTTTTGGGGGGGGGAGTATTTTTAAACATAAAAAGCTCCATAAAATCCATGCAATTAGACCTGGGATGCAACTTTGGTTGAAGGGACCCGTCAGTGACACGTGACAAATTCCTCTCGCCGAGATGTAGGATTTACCCTGGTGAAAAATAAAAGATATAAATTGAATATGAATGGTTACATTTGTCATGCCTCATCAAGTAGAGAATATATGTATAATGATTGGTAATCCATCTAAACTCTTGAAATACAAACTGTAGAACAAGAGATATAGTTTCGAATGAATTTCAGTTCGTGTTCATTTTTAACAATACTACCTCAGAATAGATACAGGAAAAGTATGGCAGAAAACAACTGTCAACCGATTATATAAGCAATATTTCATGATGGAAGAGCTCGCCATTTTCAGACAAATTCTGGTTTTGTTACCTAGAATTATTTTCTGTCCCACATCATATCTTATCAACTAACCATATACAGAAATGTCACCAGAGTTACATATAACATTATAAAAGCTTACAGCAGAGTAATCTTCTATTTGGTCGAATTCGTCTTCCTTAGATGAAGCGACAACATGAGTTCTTAGTTTTTTGGATTTAGCATCATAGGAGAATTTCTGTAGCAAATCGAAACAGATAAGTCGAATATTAGTATATCTCCTTCAGAAAATCAAAGTACTAAACATACTGATGGAGGTTGATTGTAATGACTGTTTCAGTAATGTTTGTTACCTTATATAATTATATCTCCAACAGAAAAAAGTATTCAAACCTTCGATTATTTCTCTTCAGCTGATATATAAACACCGGTGCTTACCTGTATATTATGATCTTGGACTCACCAGCGTTTGAAAGCGTTTATCCATGGTACTTGAGAGGGATGTCATTGTGTCAATGTAGGTCTGGAACTGGGGAGGAACACAGCATTCTGACGTACTTCCGGGTATCATCAAGACGGACAATGCGAGTATTAGTAAGGAGACAAACATCTTTGAAGTGGTTTTGTTTTATTTTTTATGATTCTTTGTTTAAATTTGAAATTACAGCTTTCTGTGCAGACTCTATACAATATAAATCGGCAATATTTTTTTTTATTAAAGATTTTAGTACATTTGATATTTTTTACATGAGTTATGTTCACACTGTAAAATATCAACCAAAACTACGTCTGTGTTAAAAGCACAGTACTACATGTAAAAAATGTTAAATGAATTCACCTGATCCCACCTCTGATGTTTTGGAGGTCCGAGTTTGCTCTGCTCTTATTTTGTATTGTTTAATGGACTTTTGAGCTTGAATACTGTTCGTTATCTCCATATATTTTATTTGCTAAATTGACGTTGTTTGATTATTCAAACTGAGGTAAAAGCTCAAATGTGGAGCCTCTCTGATCACATTTTGTCTGGTGTTCGTCTGTCTGCTCTATAAACTTTTCAGATTTTTGACTTCTTCTATCCTTGGAAAAGGGTTTGACCCATCATTTACCAAAGGATGCTTTGTTGCAAGTTTGGTTGAAATGTGCCCTGTGGTTCTTGAGAAGAAATCGAAAATGTTAAAAGTTTACAGAAAAACGGACAATGGACAAAATGTTATCAGGAAAGCTCACTTGAGTTTTCAGCTCAGTTGAGCTAAAATCTTTAGAAATCTTCTTATCAAGAAAGGAAAGCCATGATTATTCATATCTATAAGGAAACATCCTCAGGTAGTGTATATTCAAATTTTTACAAATCATGACCCCCTTGGGTAGGCTGGGCCCACAAAGGGAGTGAAATTAAGGAGATAACGAACAGTATTCAAGCTCAAAAGTCCATTAAACAATACAAAATAGGAGCAGAGCAAATACGGACCTCTAAACATCAGAGGTGGGATCAGGTGCCATAGAGGAGTGAGCATCCCCTACCGACCGGTCACACCCGCCGTGTGCTCCTTGTCATGATTGGGAAATAACGGAAAAATCCGTCGACAATTCAGTGTGTAAATAATGGCCTAACAACTTGTATGAAAAACGTCAGTCAGCATTTGACTCAATGATAAATTGTATTTGCTGACAAGGTCATTGTATCGACCATAGAACTTACGAAATGATGACTTTAAACGAGACAGCTGATATTCTTGTTTCATCAACTTGTTTGTCAATAATTTACCTCGTTTTAGAAATTGTACATACGTAGAGCATGCTCTTGCGTATCGAATCAACTGAGAGATATATTCCCCGTATGTAGGTGATGAAGGTATATTGCTGCATAAGTAAGGGAAGTTGACGATTGAAAAGTTAAAGTCATAACGTTTATCATAAAGCTTTTTCAAGTAAAATATCCAAATATGAAACAGATGTGTCAGACTCTGTGGTATCTTTTATCTCAAACTCACCAGGATATATCGTATCGACATAAGAATGTAAATAGCCATTGTTAATTGACAATACGTCGTCGATATATCTAAATGTCGAGTTGAAGGCCACAGCAAGTGTTTTTTTCTTTTCACGTACAAGATTTTGGACAAATTCTGCTTCATATGAATACAAAAAAAGGTCTGCTAATAAGGGGGCGCAATTGGTACCCATGGAAATTCCAATAGATTTTTGGAAGACCTGGTCTCCAAAAATCACATAGATATTGTCAATCAGAAACTCAAGCATCTTTTTAATGTCAACTTCAGAGTACTTTTGTGTACAATCAGAATGTTTTTTAACAAAATAATTTTGCAAATGACCAATGACAAGGTAAGTGAATTTACGAGTTCCATTTTTATTGAAAAAGCAGCTGTCAGTAATAGCAAAAAGCCTGGACTTATATTTATCGTGGGGAATGGTTGTGTATAAAGTTGAAAAGTCGTAAGTTTTTAAGCTGTTGGTTTTGGTAAAATCTTGTTATTTCAAATTTTCCAAAAGTTCCTTGGAATTTTTAAGTATCCACATCTGATTTACACCACTTCTCAAATATATTGTTGCACAGTACTCTTGAAGTTTCTCCTTCGCTACTGTTAATATCTTAGTGAGGAGTAAAGGGAGAGGCTTGGTTGAACATTTACTGAAACCCGCTATGTATCTTTGTTTGTAAGGATTTTTATGAAGTTTCGGAATCCAATATAAATGTGGTAATTCAAATTCATTTTGGTTGTTTGGAATATTAAAAATATTCAAAACTGACATATGATTTTGAAGAATTTCTTCCTTAGAAAGGGAACTATGAGTATAGGTTGGATTACCACTTGTAGAATTAAATCCAAGTTCCTCTAAAATACATTTAATATAATGAGCCTTACAAACAAAGACAATGTTGTTACCTGCTTTGTCAGCAGGGACCAGTACGTACTGATCATGTAATCCATCTAATTCTTTTTTCACTTCTGGATTATTGAATACAGAAGGATAGATGGTTCTCATTTTGCCCCTCAATCTTTTAATGCGCGATTTTAACATACATCTGATACATTTAATCCATTCTGACAAAGTGTCAGTTAAAAATTTACATATTTAAATTAAGAATACAAAGGAGAAGTCTTCTTGTGAAGAACAGCAAAGCCAAGATTTGTCATATTTATATGTAAACATCCTCAGGTAGTGTAGATTCGATTTTGTTCAAATCAGGACCCGCGGGGGTAGGGGTACAGTAGGGCTACAATGTGTGATCAAACTTCTACATTGGAAAACATAAGAAAAATTTAAAAATCACTCTTCCCAAGAACAGCAAAGTCATGATCAGTCATATTTATATGTAAGTATCCTCAGGTTGTGCATGTTAATGATTCTTCAAATCATTACCCTGGGAGTCGAGTGGATCCACGATATGTAAGTTTTACAAAGGAATAGATAGGGAAAAAATCTGCTGTTGAAGATCAGAAGTGCGAGTTACTTAGTTGAGCATTGTGGCCCATGGACCTCTTTGTTTTATGTTTTGCATTGAACCAATACATATTCGATCCTAAATATATTTATCGAGCACTCTGTTTTATCAGGCAAGAAATTGAGAGGATTATATCTGAACTCTGTTGTGTTTAAACTTGCAGAATCAATATACGTATCCTATTTATTACATTGGTATACAGGGGACAAAACACAACTATGAATCTATTTTAGTTTTGAGAGTAATAGAATATCAAACACTCATAGTTTCTGGAATATTTGTATATCACAGCACATTCAATTCATACCTAACAGATATATACTTATTTTAACTACATAAAGACATATACCCGAGGGGCATTTCAAAAGTTCTGGCAACTGGTATATAAAATTTTAACTACGTTACGGATTAAAATGACTCTGATACCACTGTAAAGCTTAGGCAAATATGCATTAGTAGTGACGTCATTTTACATTCAAAATGACGTATAGGTCTGCTAAAATGACGTCATAATTAGGTTTACTCTGTATACTGGGCGTAAAAATGACTGATAAGGAGAACAATTTTTTCGTTGAGCAAAGAGCGTATTGCATAATTCGCTCATTGCTTGGCTTTACGGCAACAGAAATAAAAGCCGATTTAGATGTAGTATATAGAGAGCATGTTCTTTCATATCGAGCAATAGCAAGATGGGTAGTTCAATTTAAAGAGGGTAGAAAATCAATTGAAGATGACCCCCGTTCGGGGCGTCCAGTTTGTGCATATAGCGAAAAGCGAAAAAGAAATCGTCGCTGTTCAAAATACGGTAGCTGTTGATGCTAGATATACAGTTGAGGAAATAGCAGACTTAACTAACATTAATTCGTCAGCAGTTTTTCGTATTTTAAAGGAAAACTTAAAGCTTAGGAAAGTCTGTGCTAGATGGGTGCCGCATCTTCTCTCGGAAGAGCAAAAGCGCATCCGGGTAGAAATGGCTTCACAGTTACTAACAATTTATGAAGATTGTGACCATAGGCGAATAAATGAGATTGTAACTGGTGATGGAACATGGACATATTTTTTTTAACCGGAAACTAAGCTCAGTAATAAAGTTTGGATCGGTGAAAATGATACAAGGCCTCAAATTGCACGCAGAAACCGGTCTGTCCGGAGAGTAATGTACGCCTTATTTTTTGATTCTAAAGGCCCTGTTGCTCAAGTTCCGGTTCCAGAACACAGCAGTGTTACTGGTCAATTTTATGCAGAGAATGTCTTGTCTCAGGTTGTAGAGCACTATAAAACGACCCGACCAACAACCAGTACTAGAGGAATAAAGCTCCTCCATGACAACGCACCTGTCCATAGATCAGAGGTAGTAACCAAATATTTAAAGGAAAATGGTATTTCCGTTTTACCATATCCACCCTACAGTCCTGACCTAGCTCCATGCGATTTTTGGTTGAATGCCGTTATCAAAGAAGCCCTCCGAGGACGGCGATTTGAAAGTCGTCATGCAGTCGGAAGTGCCGTATTCCAGTGTATGAAGCGTATACCGAAAGAGGACTATAGGGCAGCATTTTTCACGTGGATTTCAAGACTGAAAAAGTGTGTCCAGGTCAACGGAGACTATTTTGAGGGATTGATATAATTTAATTTATGATAATGACGCTCATTAATTTACCGCACACCAGTTGCCAGAACTTTTGAAATGCCCCTCGTACCCTGTACTGTTCTGTATAAATATCAGTGTTTAATCAGTGTTCTTAAGGGGGCAGACTTAAAACTAAGATAAAGCGAAAGAACAGTTTCATTTAACATGAAATTAAAAGATTCTTTGCTCAAACAATCTAAAAATTAAAAAAAATGTTTATGTTTTTGCTAAGAAGTGCATATCTTAAATCTCACTGACCTAACTGCAAATATGTGAAATGCTTAAAATACTTTTAAAATGTTTTTTGTTCTCTTCAGAATCAGATAAAAATATTCGGAAAAAAACAGTCAAGAAATGGTTGTAATTAAAAGTTCATTTTTTTTTTTTTTTTTTTTTTTTTGGTTTTGTTTTGTTTACATTGGAGCACCTTGGTGAAATTATTTGGAATGAAATACAATGTATCCTTTTAATTGTTAAGTCAAGACTTTATGATATTTTGCGGGAACAATTCAAATTTAAAGATACAAACAATAGAATAGAAGTGTCATTAGAAAGGAAAGCAAAATAAAAGAAAAATTCAAATCAATCTTTTTTTCTAATTTTTCTGTAATAAATATGAACTTTTCTTTATACAGTATTGTTCATGTTATGTATTATATTGAGTTGACAGAATACCAAAATAAGTTGTTTATTTGGAAAGAAATTTAATCCTTAAAAAGTAATTTACACCGGTAGTACATTTATAAATATGAAATGGCTGATCATATTAATGATATCCCTCGCCTTCTTTGCTTGGTAACGTGAGGAAGGCTCTGAAAAAGGAGATATTTTTATACAGTGTTAGAAATTTGTCATCTTAATGTTGAAGACATTAAATAGACAATGATTCAAAAATCACCACAGGTAATCACGGTCATATTTATGTCCTTACCCTTTCTTGATGAACACAGATGTTGGGAGGAGTAAACACACTCGGATTTGTTATTCCCAAAGAAAAATTGGAATAAACGATGAACTCAATATAACCTTTCTCCTCTGTAAATTACAACATTAAATATTAGCTTTCGAGTTTCAAATTAATATTTACGCCTTTGGAGACTACATCTGATTATCATATAGAGAAACAGTAATAAATTATAAATGGGAATGTCGTTCTTTGAGACCATTAACAGTGGAGTTAAATGACGATCACACATTGTTGTTTACAATATAAATAAATTAAAGTTTACCACTTGAAAAGTGGCCCTCCATTGGTATGCAATCCTCAGTGACTGTGACATACATGTCATTTGTATCTTTTTTGAAGTTATACATGTTAACCGGGACTTCGTTAGGTGGCTGCCCCATGTATGTTCTACCCAACAGTTTCGCTCCCTCTGATATTAAGTAAAAAATAATACTATCAGTGATGACGAGAACAAGTATTTTTGAAGCTGTTTACTTCTCGGTGGAACATCTGATTTATTTTTTAACATGATGTGAATTTCGTCACATAATAATATTGTGCCGCGATTTAAATTTTATCCTGTCTCATGAAATGAGCAACCCATATGGATGCAAAAGCGCCGTATATATTGCAGTTTTTCTTGTATGTCCCTCAAGGAGATCAGAATACTCTGGATGGTAAGGTTCTCGCCAGGGGGTAAATTGTAGAAGTCGAGCGAGGAAATGTTTCTTGTGAGCAAGACTATTAAACCTGTCTTTACTTTTTTTTTCAAAATCCATGGTTTGATCTTACAAATATATTATGTATACAGAGATTATGAAACGGTCCCTCTTACCTGGTACACATGATTCGCTGAAGTTTCCTAACGGAAGTACACGACAGGCACCATTGGCCCAAACGTATTCTTTACCCTTGTACAGAAATAACTAATTGTTAGTACAGAAGCTTTTATAAAAAGTAGTTAAATACGTATATATTGCTTGATATTACAACAAATAAATATTAAAGTCAATTTATCTTACATCTTTCCTTTCAGGAAAATTGTTTTTTTTTTTTTACTTCTCATGAAATACTTGTACTTAGCTTTTGTCACACGCATCACTGCACCAATCCAGTCTCTTTTTAATATTTTCATAGTTCATATAATACCTCCCCCTTATTAGCTCTACCTGTCTAACTAATCTCAGACTAATACAAAGATACCTTACCGCTTTATAATCCATGATGACGTCAGAAGTGATATTTTTCGTGTAGTCTACACCATGTACAGCCAAGCGCTTCCCCACTACATCGTAAGCCACTCGCTGCATCCCCTGGGAGAAATGATCCATAATTTATTTCCGAGCATTTGCTAGTCGAATAATAAAAAGACCAGAAACCTTATTCGAAAAGTAACTCATTGTCTTACCCTTGTAATTGTAACAGCACCGTTCTTCTTTACTGCAGCATAAACATCCTCCGTGACTTCATACTGTTTTGGTGGACAGCAATGGCCCCAGACACCCGCCACAAAGACGCAAATCAGGAACCATCCTCTAAGCTCCATAGCTGTTATTGATATGAGGATACCCGGTTGTGCCAGTCCTGTTTACCATTCCTGAAGTGCTTGATAACAAGTCACATCTGTTTACCAGTGTGTCCTTAACTAACCTTTCAATATCATGTTTTGGGACATTCTTTTTACTACGTTTTAAATTATCGGTTCTTCATTTGGAAATTTTACACTCATACACAGTTTGTCAATACTTATCTACATCAGTTACCTCCGTTAATAACTTTTATGTTTGTGAGTCTTTCGGATCAGACCTTAAAAATGAAAAAAAAGGTGAAGATATCAAACAGTGGTAGATCTCAAAAAATCTACAAATATTACAAATCTGTGAACAGGGCATAAAACAGGGCCCGGAAATTCCAAAGGTGGGATCAGGTTCCTAGGATCAGGATCAGGTTCCCTTGTTGACCTTAAAAATGAAGCTTCGTGTCGCGGCAGTCCTTACCTGACCGTTCAATATCATCTTGATTATATCTAAGACTTTCTTTTTACTATGTTGTAAATTATCAGTTATGTAGCTGGAAACTAGTTGAACATTTTGTATTCATACATAGTTTATCAAAACTAAATACTTGTAATGAGTTATCTCTATTAATATCTTCTTCGTTTTCAGAACGTGGTTTAATTGTTTATGGAAATTTATCATTTCCATGTTTTCAGTGCTAAACATATGAGAAAATATTTAAAAGTTCTCTAACATCATTGCGCCCCGTTGTTAGCAGACCTATTTTTGTATTCATATGAAGCAGAATTTATTCAAAATCATGTACATGAGAAAAAGAAATTTCTTGTCGTGGCCTTCAACTCGACATTTAGATATATCGACGACGTATTATCAATTAACAATAGTTAGTGATCTTGATATAAAAGATTACACCGAGTCTGACACATCTGTTTCATATTTGGATATTTTACTAGAAAAAGACGTTAATGGTAATCTAACAACAAAACTTTAGGATAAACGTGATGATTTTAACTTTTCAATCGTCAACTCGACTTACTTATGCAACAATATACCCTCATCATCTGCATATGAGGTGTATATCTCTCAATTTATTCGATACGCAAGAACATGCTCTATGTATGTACAATTTCTAATACGAGGTAAGTTATTGACGAACAATTTGATGACACAAGAATATCAACAGTCTCGTTTTAAGTCATCATTTCGTACGTTCTATGGTCGATACAATGACCTTTCAGCAAATACAATCTATCATTAAGTCATATGCTGACTGTCGTTTTTCATACTAATTGTTAGACCATTATGTACACTCTGAATTGTCGACGGATTTTTCCGTTATTTACATATCATGACAAGGAGCACACAGCGGGTGTGAACGGTCGGCAGGGGGGTGCTCACTCCTCCATGCATCTCCATGGCACCTGATCCCACCTCTGATGTTTTAGGAGATCCGTGTTTGCTATGCTTCCGATTTGTATTGTTTTAATGGACTTTGAGCTTGAATACTGTTTGTTATCTCCATATTTCATCTAGTATGCTCGAATTCCGACAAAAAACAGCTGTTTGCTACAGAGGATATAAATATGACAAATGTAAAGAAAACAAACAGTGGTTGATCTCCTAAATCCGATAAACAATATAAGCTGTGAAAAGTTTGGCCAGAAAACCTTAAATGTCATCTCTTTGGTTTCAAAAATGTCATGGAATAAAAAATGGAATGTAATTTCTCTAATATAGCTATAAACCTGTATTAAAAGTTTACTTCATTGATCATGTTGCGTTTTTAATTAAGTTTTGAGTACATGTATTCAGCCTGGCTTTTCTAATTGCTTCCTTGATCTTATCCTCTAAAGCTACTTATATTTACATTTATTTACTGAAAAAAAATGTAATGCAAATGTTTTTTTTTTTTTAAATTCTGTCATAGAGAATTGAAATACACGAGGCATTCCATGGAAATTTACAAAATTCCCGCCCACTGACGTCAGATACAAAAACAGTCGCGAGAGATTGACATGCATATTAGGCGCTTGACCATTCACGTGGCAAAACTTACATTCAGTTGCAAATATCGAGAAATCAACACACTTAACTTTCAAAGAATTATCACGGTTGGAAAATGAAAATATTTGGCATTAAACGTCAAATCAGTAAAACATCCGAATATGTAAAAGATATGACAGGCTTTGACAGTGTTATCTTTTCAAGTAAACTGAAATACGTGAAAATTACCACTGTTAATTCATAAAACGTCGTCGATACATCTAAATGTCAAGTTGAAAGTTCCCATAAAAGTTTCCGTCTTCTCTTGTCGAAGTTTTGAACAAGAATATCAAAACAGATCAACTAACAAAGGAGCAGAATTTGCGCTCATCTTCTGCAATGGTCTCATTTGTAACCCTTCGGTCCATTGTATCTTGTTTTCTACATAGTAAATAAATGTAACACATTCTTTATTCCTTTATTTAGAAATCTGTTTATTACCAGTATAAGAAACATGTAATGTACACATTATGTAAATGATATAAAAGATATGATTGGTATAAAAATATAATTATAAAAGTAGGTCATTAAATGAGCAACAGAAAATAACAAACGTTAAATTTAATTGAACATCTATGTAGATTATTCTAAAACAATAATCAAAGAAAGACAAAGTTTTGATGGACATATATTTTGTCTGGAATTCTTATCTAACTACAGGAAGAACTCAGTTCACCACACGATACATTTTTTTCTTGGATTCATGAAACTTCCAGCTTTACAATTAAAGGCTTCACTAAACTCCACATTGTTTTGTAAAGGGCCCACAACTCTACAAACGAGAAAAAATACTGACATATAAAATACTGTAATAAAGGACAAAGTAACAGATATGCATTCACCTTGCAAGAAATAATTCAGCAATCAATAAGCTGAACATTGCAGTCTTTACAGAAGCAAGTCAGTAAATGGGAATTTTTAACCTTGATTTAAAGTTTCCGTGGGGATCAACCAGAATTCGCCTTAAAGCCTCTTCTGGTCGTACTAAGCCACACCAAACCTACAAAGTAAATAACAATTTAAGTACCCACACCATACCTAAAGTAAGTAAACATCACACCTACATAGTAAGTAACAATTTAAGTACCCACACAACACCTAAAGTAAGTAAACATCACACCTACAAAGTAAGTAACAATTTAAGTACCCACACCATACCTAAAGTAAGTAAACATCACACCTACATAGTAAGTAACAATTTAAGTACCCACACCACACCTAAAGTAAGTAAACATCACACCTACAAAGTAAGTAACAATTTAAGTACCCACACCACACCTAAAGTAAGTAAACATCACACCTACATAGTAAGTAACAATTTAAGTACCCACACCACACCTAAAGTAAGTAAACATCACACCTACAAAGTAAGTAACAATTTAAGTACCCACACCACACCTAAAGTAAGTAAACATCACACCTACATAGTAAGTAACAATTTAAGTACCCACACCACACCTAAAGTAAGTAAACATCACACCTACAAAGTAAGTAACAATTTAAGTACCCACACCACACCTAAAGTAAGTAAACATCACACCTACAAAGTAAGTAACAATTTAAGTACCCACACCACACCTAAAGTAAGTAAACATCACACCTACAAAGTAAATAACAATTTAAGTACCCACACCACACCTAAAGTAAGTAAACATCACACCTACAAAGTAAGTAACAATTTAAGTACCCACACCACACCTAAAGTAAGTAAACATCACATCTACATAGTAACAATTTAAGTACCCACATCACACCTAAAGTAAGTAAACATCACACCTACAAAGTAAGTAACAATTTAAGTACCCACACCACACCTAAAGTAAGTAAACATCACACCTACAAAGTAAGTAACAATTTAAGTACCCACACCACACCTAAAGTAAGTAAACATCACACCTACATAGTAAGTAACAATTTAAGTACCCACACCACACCTAAAGTAAGTTAACATCACACCTACATAGTAAGTAACAATTTAAGTACCCACATCACACCTAAAGTAAGTAAACATCACACCTACAAAGTAAGTAACAATTTAAGTACCCACACCACACCTAAAGTAAGTAAACATCACACCTACAAAGTAAGTAACAATTTAAGTACCCACACCACACCTAAAGTAAGTAAACATCACACCTACAAAGTAAGTAACAATTTAAGTACCCACACCACACCTAAAGTAAGTAAACATCACACCTACATAGTAAGTAAAATTCTAAGTAACCACATCAATCATATACAGTGAGTAAAATTCAAAGTAATATATATTAGACTCATCAAATCCATAAATTGAATGTAGTTTGTGTTACAACAGCTACAATTTATATCTGATTGAAAATAAGTATATTTTGAAAAAGTAACTATTCAATGAGATCCCTTCCTAATGAAAAGCTGCAGAACACATATGAATTACTTACATGAGCAGCATTTAAAAAGAAAAGTTGTTTCGGAGTGTACTCTAATCCTGGAAGGTACGGCTCTGGTTTTCCATCTCTAGCCTTCTTCAGCCATTTCTGATATGCCTGTAACATTTTTACAATAAAAAATAATGACAATCGTGTTTAAAAGTATCACTTTAATGAATGGAAATTTTAATGAAATAAAAACAAGAAGTCTGTGAGCCAATGCTCACTAATAATACCCCCGCTCTGATGTGAATACACAAGTTCGGTTATAGACAAAGACAGTGATAATTAGGAAATTGACATTGGATTTGCAAAAACTGAATCCCAACACATGGCATGCCTAAACAAAGATTGTGCTAAAATTTGAAGCATCTGCGATAAGTAGTTGCTGAGAAAACTACGACCAAAATTTGCTATGTATGTTTCGGACAGATGCACGGATAAACAGGAAGTTGACATCGGATTTGTACAAAAATGAATCCCACCATATGGCATGCCTAAACAAAGAGTGTGTTAAAATTTCAAGCACCTGTGATGAGTAGTTGCTGAGAAAACTGCGACCAAAGTTTGTTATGTGTTGTACGGACAGACGCACGGATAAACAGGAAGTTGACATCAGATTAGTACAAAAATGAATCCCACCATATGGCATGCCTAAACAAAGATTGTGCTACAATTTCAAGCACCTGCGATGAGTAGTTGCTGAGAAAAGTACGACCAAAATTTTTTATGTATGGTACGGACAGACGCACGGATAAACAGGAAGTTGACATCAGATTAGTACAAAAATGAATCCCACCATATGGCATGCCTAAACAAAGATTGTGCTACAATTTCAAGCACCTGCGATGAGTAGTTGCTGAGAAAAGTACGACCAAAATTTTTTATGTATGGTACGGACAGACGCACGGATAAACAGGAAGTTGACATCAGATTAGTACAAAAATGAATCCCACCATATGGCATGCCTAAACAAAGATTGTGCTACAATTTCAAGCACCTGCGATGAGTAGTTGCTGAGAAAAGTACGACCAAAATTTTTTATGTATGGTACGGACAGACGCACGGATAAACAGGAAGTTGACATCGGATTCGTACAAAAATGAATCCCACCACATGGCATGCCTAAACAAAGATTGTGCTAAAATTTCAAGCATCTGCAGTGAGTAGTTGCTGAGAAAACTGCGACCAAAGTTTGTTATGTGTTGTACGGACAGACGCACGGATAAACAGGAAGTTGACATCGGATTCATACAAAAATAAATCCCACCATATGGCATGCCTAAACAAAGATTGTGCTACAATTTCAAGCATCTGCAAAGAGTAGTTGCTGAGAAAACTGCGACCAAAATTTGTTACGGACAGACAGACAGACAGACAGACAGACAGACAGACAGACACACAAGGGTAAAACAGTATACCCCCCTCTCCTTCGGAGCGGGGGTATAATAAAAATTATAGTTTGTGCTTTCCCGTTATTGATAAGATCAAAGACTTTTCCAGTTGTTTTAATAATTTTCATGCTATTTTTCTTTTATTTAATCACCACCTTCCTTCATTTGTTTTTCTACTTCATTTCTCCCTGTTTATATTTTTTTGTTTTATCATGAGTAAGCAAAACGTATCTTCCCTTCCCTTAAAATAAAATGTATACCTTATCACCTAGCTTTCTTAATCATTCAACCAACCAATCAATCAATCAATCTTAATCTTCCATTATATTACATTAAAGTATGTCTTATCACCTAGCTTTCTTAATCATTCAATCAAACAATCAATCAATCAATCTTAATCTTCCATTACATTACATTAAAGTTTTCTTTATCTTTCATTCCAATACAATAAAATTTATGCTTTATCACCTAAAGTTTCTATATCTTCCATTCCCTTACAATAAAATTTATGCCTTGCATGTTTCACCTAAAATTTCTATATCTTCCATGCCTTAACACCTGTAGTTTCTATATCTTCCATTCCTTTACAATAAATGTATTTCTTAACACCTATAGTTTCTATATCTTCCATTCCCTTACAATAAAATGTATGCCTTACCACCTTAAGTTTCTATATCTTCCATTCCCTTACAATAAAATGCATGCCTTACCACTTTAAGTTTCTATATCTTCCATTCCCTTACAATAAATGTATGCCTTACTACCTTAAGTTTCTATACCTTCCATTCCCTTACAACAAAATGTATGCCTTACCAGCCAGCTCTCCTTCAGTCCACCATTGTCAGCAATATTTTCACCGAGAGTAAGTTTACCATTTAACTGCAATAGTCATAAAGGTTGAATCTTATTCAATATGTTACATATCCAGGTCCATAGCTAAACTTAAAGTACTGAAAGAAGATGATTTATACGCAGTGCAACCAAAGGTAAATTCTGTAAGCTCTCACACAACTTCAATTCTGTTCAGAATTGTTTTAAGAAGACAAGTCAGACTTCCAATATAGTCTGAGAGTAGAAAAATGACTAGATATAATATGAACTCGAATCAAGGTTATTTCCACAGGGTAAAAGTTAAAAGGATTAATAACATTTGCGCGTTTCTCTAACCTTTTTATTGATATTTGGAGTTCGCATTGATTTCATACTTCATAATATAATTTACACATGGTGAATACAAATATCAGTAAGCATTATATCTAATATTCGTTCAGAAAATATAGTTTTTGCTCTGTTAATAATTATGTACCTCGTCATTATGTAAGGTTCTGACAAAATAATTCATTTTTGGAATGATATATTTACAAATTGAGAGAAGAAGCAAACAAGGACCCCTGGAGATATCATATGAAACATCATAATTTGGTAAATGTGATAATCCGTAGATAAATCGTTATGAAAATAATGGCGAAAAAATTGTTTTGAAAAAGTCAGTCAACATTCGTTCAACGTCACTGTAGTTCAATCGGTTAGCACTCGCACTCCGTAGTCCGGGGGGGGGGGGGGGGTCGCGGTTCTAGCCCCAGCAGTACCTAAGTGGATAAAAATAGGTAGCAACTGTTACTTCGACAAGCACTCTACTCTTTAAAGTGAAAGTTTTATGTCTTTAGAATGTTCGAATGATACCTTAAAAACCAAGGTCTCGTGTCACAGCAGGAGTTAACATGCTAAAGAACCCTCAATGGCCCTGAGTACCAAGTAAAAGTCTAAATGTGTAGCCCTTCAACTGCATCTTTAATTCTCATATGAGGGAAATAGTCTGTAATAGTCTGAAATAGTCTGTAATGGATGTTAAACTATCCATCAATCAATCAACATTCGATTTAACGTCAGGCTCTAGTCTGTATCAAACAAAGAATTTACTCTCACCGAGATTTTTGATACGCTTGTATCATCGAATTATATTTCAGAAGCTAGTCTGTCTCAGTTCAGAAACTGATCGTAAGCAATCGTATGACCTTGGGGACCAAATGAATTGGGAGACAATAAACCATATGCAGGTAAAAATGATATATCACTAGAAATCAACTTCATCACCTTTATCATAGAGTTTACTTGTTAGTATGCCATTCATATTCTTATCCAGTAAAAAACATCGTAATATAACCAATAAGTCGGTGTATTTCATTTTGAGTACAGTAGGATATATCAAATCAACGTATGGATGAAAATGAATATTGCTAATTGATGAAACGTCATCGAGATATATTAATGTCGAATGGAAAATCACAGCAAGGGACTTAAGAGACCTTTTTCTTCGTGTAGAATTTTTGCTTAAAATTTTCCTTATAGGGTCGGCTTCTAAAGGGACACAATTTGATACCAAAGAGAATTACAGTAGATTGTTGGAAGACCTGGTTTGCAAATACTCCATTGATATTGTCAATAAATGGTCAACTCCAGAATCTTTTTAATATCAATCTATCATTGGCTGTATGTGTAGAAAAATCTTATTTCAGAGAGAGGGAATTTCATATTATATTGCAAACCATTTTGCAGAGAGCTATTTACGGACATGTTGTACTGATTATTAACTTAAACAAAAATGTCTGTTTGTTATTAAAATAAATTTAAAGCTCATGAGAGCTATAGAACTGAAATCCAGCATGATTTTTTTTGTTTTCTTTGTTTGTTTGTTTTTTGTTTTATTTTGTTTCTTTGTTTGGTTGTTTTGTTTTGTTTTGTTTTATAGATGTGTGTGTATTTAATATAAATGTAATAATTCTCATCAAATCTTCCCAAATAACGGATTCTACAGATAAAAAAAACCACATGATATACAAGAAAATTTGAAGGTTTATATAGGTACTTTTCAATTTGGTTGAAGATCAAAGTGAAAGGCATATATTATTAGTATTTTGGTAACCTGTCCCATTTTTCAAATGGTCTCTTTGAACAACCTATTTGTAATATAAGTCGTAGTTTTTTTTTTTCAATGTGTTCCTCTGCAGCCTACATTTTTGTGGGCTTCCTCCACAGTATATCCGCTGTACTGGTCTGTCATACAGTCAGCCCTCGATTTAAAATTATTGATGGACGTGTTGGTCCACCACTGCTTCAGATTCCCGGCCCCATCATACTGTCGCCCTGTTAAAAGGGTACTTAATTTAATCTGCCTGTATCTCGTTTTTGACTAGCAGATATAAGATTGGAGCATCCAAGAAACATTTATGAAATTCTTCATTACTTTGACGACTGAAAAATATGTTTTTTAACTGAAGTGGTCAGGCAATATACATTATATGATCATGATTCGCGATTATTACAAGAAAACAACATGCTCTCTATTTTATTGATGGTGTGAGTAGAGTTCCAGGATTGCAAATTTAAACTCACCACTGTCGTCAAAACCATGGGTGATCTCGTGACCTATGACATAACCAATCCCTCCATAATTAAGGTATCTGAAAGAAAAGATACAAAGGCTCCCTTAATGCTGGAAAATTGACTCCTAAGGTGCAAAATTTCATCACAATTCTTACAAGTCCGGGTAGGAAATACGATGATAACAAACATTAATTAAGCTTAATTAAAAGCAATTGGAATAATACAGATTGGGAGTAGAGCAGACATGGACCTCTTAAAACATTAGAGGTGAGATCGGGTGCCATGGAGGAGTAAGCATCCCTTGTCGACCGGTAACACCCGCCGTGCGCTCCTCGTCATAATTGAGCGGAATTAAAACAGTAAAATGCATAATTTGGTAAGAGTATACTCAACGATCTGTTTTAGAAACAAAATAAACTCACTGGGGGTAACCACTTTTGTAGAATGGTGGCTGTAAAATTCCTGCTGGAAACACTACATACAAGGAAATATATAAAAGGATCAAATATCAATTATCTAAAAGGTGTGAAATTTAAATATAAACTTTTTTGTTTGGATAAATAAAGAATACATTTAAGGAATAAAGCAATAAAAATTTGTTACCCATAGAATATGCGAACACAATAGGAAGGGAATTTTTTTTAAATGAAATGGAAAATCTTTCTATTTATTTAATTTAACAACTTGATATAAGTAACATAAAGGACGAATAAATGTCTGAGACTATATCTAACTTGCTTACTGATTTGGTTTCTTGCTGGATTGTAATAAGCGTTAACAGTTGCGGGGGGAGTTTCCCATCTGTTAATTAGAAAAAAATGTCATATCTTATTACTAGTACCTCTACATGTCAGAAATCTTCAATCTGATGTATACTTACATAAATCTCTAATGAAGGATTGTTTATTTCTGTTTACCTTTGTGCACATTTTTTTTTAAATCAGATCAATCATTCTATTTCTTTTTTCAACCACTATTGTACAGATTTCTTATTCGTTTTGTCTACAAATGCTGATCTAGATTTTGGTGTGTGGTAATATAAGTAACAGATCGACTTTCGGTCCTGGTGCAGCATATACAATATCAGAAATATGCTTTAGGTATTTCTTAATTTTTTTTTTTTTTTTTGGGGGTTTTATCCAAGCAAATAAATCAATGTTCTAGAGTACCCGCTAAATAGTTTCTCTACCTTCTTACAATCTTAACCTACATCTTCATAAAAATCCTTACAAACAAAGATATATTGTAAGGTCCAGCAATTGCTCTACTAAGCCTCTATCATTTCTCCGCATGAAAATATAAACAGCTATATAGGAGAAATTTCCAATAAACTATGCATAAAACACGGAAATTCCGAAGTGGGATCAGGTGCCTAGGAGTAGTAAGCATCCCCTGTCTATGTACTGATCAGAATATCTCATAGAATATTTCATAGTCAAATTTTGATATAAAAACAAAGACCTTACAATTGGTATGATATATATCAGTCAAAATACAACCCAGTGTTAGGTTATATATTAATAAAATATTAAGAAATTGTAAACCTTCTATGACGTTCAAATTCTACCTTTCTGCAACCATCCTTATTAATCTACACAAATTTTTGTCACTTAAAATCCCATAATTGTGAAACTTTGAATGAAAAATTAAAAACTATGCTTAAAGTTTTTTCATTTCACTTATATATATACAGGACTCAATTTGTTATTTTCAATTTTTTTGATAAAAGTTTGTTTGTATCTTCTATTAACCAGAATCAGAAAATAGAAATCAGTTTAAAGATTCGCATTGTTTGTATTTCTTTTAGATCGATCATTGTTTGTTATCTTTATCTGAAGAATTATCACAAATGCAAAATTTCTCTCATACTTTTTCTAGCTTTTATGGTCCTCTTGGCCCTGCCTAAAATAAAGCTTAATTATCAAGTCACTATATGTATATAACTAGATCACTAAGTCACTTTAAATGCAAAAAGAAAATATAGAGTCAGCTTTAACTCACTTTTTCCTATCCACAGGTTTGGGGAGAATCTCAAGATTTTCTTTGGTTCCCAGCTTCAGGTAGTTTAGGGCGTTTGTAAAGTAGTTGTCCAAATTGAATTTGTACTGAAAAAATGTGGTAGAAAAATCCGTCATTTTCTGATCAAGTAACAATGTTTTGTATTTCTTAAATTAAATATACATCATTCGTCCCAATTATATGCCCATTCTTCAAAGAAGCTATATTTCCAGTTTTTGCTGTATGCATGTAACATTAAGCATAAATTATGAATACTTTTATTTGAAAATTCAATCAAAATTGTGCCTTTTTGATCGACAAGAAATGGGGTTATTCTGGGTTTAGAAATGTTTAAACATGTTTGATCAAGGGGTTGGGGGTTCCAGACAAGCTATTAAAAGAAATGGGGCTCGAGTACCTCAAAATTTCATTTTTTGTGTTTTCCATTAAATTGTTTGGTTTGTTGTTAGGCATTACAATAAAATACACTCAGTTAAACTGGCATATCAGGAATATTAATAAAAATAACACTTCATTATTTATAATTTAGAACTCGAATAATTTAAACTCGATTTTGACTACAAAGAAACTTTTTCACGAGTCTCATGATTTTCATGAGAAAGTCAATGTCTTATTTCAAAAAACGTGCACAGAATATTTTATGATTTACACAATGCATTTGATATATAGTTTATCAACGTTACGGTATACCCTCTAGGCATTGTTGAACCGATAATATACTAGAAAAGATTTAGCTCCATATTCTATTCGGCAGATCAGAGACAGCTAGGCCCCAGGCTCATGAAACAATTTAAGTCAAAATCTGTATGTTACCCCGAAATGGCCTAAAGGTAAAGCACTCCAAAATAAAAATGTTTTAAAGATAGCTTTTTCTTCAATTTCTGCAATTTCGTTTCAGTTCCCAATTAATAATCATTAAAATCAAGGCTTAAAAGATTTAATCCGAACACAACAAGACATGGTTTCAGAATCTCAATTGATCGTGACTTTGAAAGCTAGAGCAGGAGCAGGAAAAGATAAGTAAGTTTAAGTCAGTCTCGTGATTCCGGTGTCAAGGCACACTTAAATCTAAGTTCAGAAGATATAGGGTAATTTATTCTTACCGCACAAATGAATGATGACATACAATAAGTGACAAAATACCAGGTTTCTTAGCATTACTTTATGAGTCTTTTAAGTTTTTGCATTCTATTGAAATGTTCTGTTTAAACATATTTCAACCATCTCATGAAATGTATGGAGATAACGAACAGTATTCAAGTTATACATTGGTAATGTGTTTCACGTGAATTTACGTGTTAATACTCTTAAAACAAATAATATTATGTATTTTTTCGTATTTTGTAAAATAAACTTCACTGAAATACAAGTGAATTTCAGATTAACCACCTTTCACGTAAAATTCACATGCAATACTTCTAGATGCGCACTGTGGCTGCATAATTTGAAGTAATATCTTAAATCTATATTTAGTCGCCCGCGTGGCGCAGTGGTCAGAGCGTTTGCTCTAGAGTCGCGATGTAAGGGGTTGATCCTTACGTCGCGGGTTCGAACTCACTGCGGGAAGTGGAGACCGGTCCTTCGGTTAAGACTGTTTAAAATGAGGTCCCATGTCGCAGTAGGTGTCACTGCTCAATGGCTCTGAGTGGCGAGTATAGGTCAAAATTTGCAGCCCTCCACCGGCAAGTGGTGGTGGCGTCTCCATATGAGTGAAAAATTCTCGAGAGGGACGTTAAACAATAAACAAAAATAATAAATCTATATTTAACATCCCTTGAAAAAAAATTATTCACTTTATAAACAAACCTGATCACAAATGAAGGTAACGTACATGACGTTACTGAAATCTGACCTAGATGTAGAAGGATATATTTCACATAATTTTAATGCAATATAGTATCAATGAAATATGAAAATAACAAACAGTAATAAGCTCTAAAGTCCATTAGAAGAAAAGACATAGACTTCTATAAAAACATCAACTCACGTCTTTATATCTTTCATTCAGGAATGTGTCATTTTTCACTTCCGGTGGGTAACCTATCCTTGGCTGTATTTGGTCTGCCTGTCCACAATTAAAAACAATAAAATTTTATAAAAACATTAATTTGTACAGATTTTATAAATGTCTAGAACGTTTATTCTTAGTAGAGTTGAATATCATAAACATGTATAATTTAACATTTCAATAAATACCAACATATTTCAGTACATATTGCAGATTCAGGAAAATAATTTTGAAATAAGAACTCAAGATAATGACCACCTTTTCTTAGCCTTAGTTTTAGATATTGACTATCTTTCGTCTAGCCTAAGATTTAGATGATAACTACTTTTTGTCTAGCTTTAGTTCTAGATAATGACTGCCTTTGGTTTGGTCTTAGATATTGATTACCTTTTCTCTGGCTTTGGTTTTAGTCTCTGCATCCATCCATTCGTTTTGTTTTAACAAATCTTTCATGGCTGATCTCAGGTTCTCTATCATCTCATCTGCCTAATTTCAGAATTCAGGAAGTTATTTTAGTAAGACATTCAAAATATTCAATCGATACATTTGCATCTATCTACAAGCGTTTTTATGTAGGCAGGGTGATCAACAAATCATCGTTAAAAAATACCTAAAAATATGAAATATGATCTTTCTTGTCAAAAGTTTTTATTTAGTAAAGAAAAAATGTTCTAGCAATAATATTTAATTAAGTAAACAAGCTCTTCTGTGCCTGGAGGTTTACATATCTAAAAATGGAAATGACCACCCAGACATACATCAACTGACTGACTAAATTCACTTCATTTAAATTTTTCGAACAAAATCTACGACAATGAAAATTGGAATTAGAGTATTCATTTAATATTGGAAGAAGACAAGAAGATTTTTTTGAAATTTAAAACACTTCAAATCCCTTTCATTGCTTCTTCGATGTGTGAAAGGTGCTAAGTTGAGGAGAAGACCTTACCTTGGACTTGGCCTTGCTGTCGAACGTTTCCTCCAGGAAAGGTTTCCCCACAGCTAACCCCACTATACTATTGGCCACGCCTACACAGGTCTTCCAGCGAGGGGGCTGTACTGCAGACCCCGTCAACGTCTTAAGAAAGAAGAATCGTACAGATACAGGAACACATATAAGAATGAGAAAGAATGGCATTTGATATAAAAGTACTAGAGAGAGAATTAAACAGATACAGGAACACATGAAAGGATATTGGATAAGAGAGAAAGAGAGAATTAATTACCTCTCTGTAATCACCATATATTTCTCGAACACTTTTAGGCATTGCACCAATCATCAATATCAGAGCACGCCAAACGACGTAATTCTGTAGCATCCTAAAAATGTAGGGGGAAAAAAATGTGAAATCACTTATTCATGTTGTTATGAAGTATTTTCAATGTATACGCAAAATAACATCATTATTTCAAACCTTTTATCTTTACTGACAAGTGTATTCACAATTTTGGTCATATAATCTGGGTTTCTGTTGATAACAGGAGTAGATGATTGTACTGTAATATTCAAATCCTTCCTCCCTAGCGTGGCTTTGAAATATTGTAACCACTCAAACTAAACAATGTTTAAAGATAAATATAATGTCTTAGTCAATTGAAATAATTAACACATGGAGTAAATGACTAACATGTATTTAAATGTATTAAACATTGGTTTTAGTGACCTTTAAAACATCGTTTACATTTGACCATTTAATTTGGAAACATGTATCAGCAAAGATTATTTAATTAAAGAAAAACTGGTTCTCAATGAACATTAAAAACTTACTGAGTCAGACGTAGTATTATTTTTGGAGTTTTAACAAACGTATTATTATAATTCATATACATGACTCGGAAACTTTAAAAATCGTACTGACATTGGGATACTTTGTTTGGAGTTCTGAAATCATCATTTTATGGTAGAGTTTCTCGTCATCTCTCCTTTCATCGGAAGGCATTGTAGCCTGATAAAAATATATAATATAACCATTTAAAACTAATATACATCTGAAGGCAATGTAGCCTGACAGAAAATAAACTTATCTATTTTAAACTAATATACATCATTGAATAACATTTTGCCCTAAAATAACATCTACTATTTCAAAGCAATCGACGAAAATACGAAAATTATGTACTGTATCAAAGTAGTCTTATTGACAGAACAAATGAAAATGCAAGTAAAGCTATAAAATATTGTACAGGGGAATATACGTTTATTTAGCAAACATTAATGATTTTATTTTTTATGCCCTCAAGATGCCAGAAAAAAAATGTGCCTCCAAATGCTTCAAATTAAAAGCATCACAAGAGGCCCATGGGCCATAACGCTCACTTAAGTAACTATGGCCCTTGTTCATCAGCAGATTCTTTTTCCTATATACTCCTATGTAAAACTTTGATCGCACATCGTAGCCCCTTCCTACACTGGTCGTCATGATTTGAACAAACTTGAAGCTACACTACCTGGAAATGCTTCCACATAAATATGATTGATTTTGGCTTTGCTGTTCTTGAAAAGAAGATATTTAACAATTTTTTCCTATTTATTCCAAAACTTTGATTGCCCATTGTGGTCCCCCCCCCCCCCTATCCTAGGGGTCATGATTTGGACAAACTTGAATCTACACTACCTGACAATGCTTCCATATAAATATGACTGTTCATGGCCTTACTATTCTTGAGAAGAAGATTTTAAAATATTTTTCCGATATATACCCAATTAAAACTTCGTTCACCCACAGTAGCACTCACCCTACTCGAACAAATTTGAATCCACACAATGTCAGGAGGCTTTCATATAAATTTCATCTTTTCTGGTCCAGTGGTTCTTGAGAAGAAGACTTTTAAGTTACCCCATCCAATTTCTACTAATTCTGTATTTTCTCCCCGTGGAAGAGGATGTGGTCCTTTATTTGAATCTTTTCCCAGTGGTCCTTTATCTGAATAAATTTGAATCCCCTTTTCCCAAAAATACTCTGTGCCAAGTTTGGTTGAAATTGGCCCCGTGGTTCTGGAGAGGAAGATAAAATCATAAAAAGTTTACGACAACGGACAAATTTTGATCAGAAAAGCTCACTTGACTTTCGGCTCAGGTGACCCCCCCCCCCCCCCCAAAAAAAAAAAAACTAGATGAGGATATGAATGCTCTACATTTGCTACGTCTATCTCAAAGTCCACCATCTCTGCCATGTCGTCTGCTGCTGTTGCAGGATCAGCGCCAAAGATAACGGCCATTTTTGTGGCATAGATTTCATACGCCTTTAGTTTACGGTCATTTCTGCCCTTCAGGAAATAGTCCCTATCTGGAAGTCCCAAGGCAGGCTGGTCAACCTTTAAAACACACACACACATCTTTAATAATCAGATCATGCAATCACCATCTGTCAACAGTAAGGGATATTTGCCGAACTTACGTATAAGATATTCTTTGTTGGATTTTTGGAGTCATCATAAACGTACATGTCCATAAGGGGCGGACTATTTGTGTACAGCCTCATTGTCGTCAAAAGATTGGTCAGATTAAACGTGCTTTCATTCCAGTTCTCATCCGTCACCGGCCAACCACCAAGGTCTTCTATTAACCTCCGGGCTGATGTTAAATTGTCTTTCTCTAAAGCCTCTGTGTTGTAATAAAAATGTTTTAGGTCATCAAAAGTTTTGCTCTTCGGACTGGCTTGCAAATACTGAGATGGTATGACTATTAACACTTGAACTATAAAATGCACACTGCTGAAAAGATGAGTATCATCAAACACTTAGGCCATTTTTCCTCGATTAATATATTTACTACATGTACCAAATTCCAACCTTTATTTGAAATGGTACAAGTTGAAATTTTTTAATTCATTGTTTTTATAAAATTTCATATTTTTATAATTAATAAGCCTATGTGTTTCCATAGTTTTTTGTCGGTTATGAACTACGGCTCTCAGTCCGTTGCAATGAGCTGAGAATTTCAATCATTACGTAAATACTGCACCATTCTTCACAGAACGAATAATATAATGAGTCAGTAAAATTCTGACATATTTTATAAAACCTCATAGACTCAGTTCCGAATTGTAGGCGCAGATTCATGCCAGGGCGCTCCAGACATACCGCACATACGCCCCCTGTAAAACCAAGAGGCCTATTGATCGCAACGCTCACCTGAGTCACAATGGCTCAGCTGTTCTTCATCAGCCGATTATTCCTCTATATATTTTACGTAAAAAAAATGATTGCCCATTGTGGCCAAACCCTGCCCCAGGGGGTCAAGATTTGAACAAACTTTAATGTACAATACCTGAGGATGCTTCCACATCAATATGACTAATGGTGTTATGATGTGAACGAACTTTACACTATAGAGCTTTCACAAAAAATTCATCTTTCCTGGCCTAGTAGTTTTTGAGAAGATTTTTAAAACTGTCACTAAATTTTCACTCATTCTTACATATCTTCCATTAAAAGAAGGCGTGGTCCTTCATTCAAACAAAATGAACCTTCTTTACCCAGGGATGTTCTTTGACAAGTTTAATTGAAACTGGTCCAGTGGTTCTGGAGAAGAAGACGAAAATGTGAAAAGTTTACGACAACAACGACAGGCAACGGGCACTTTTCGAATAGAAAACTCACAAGCCTTCGGTTCATGTGAGCTTAAGATATTGAAAGATAAAATTGCAGTCATTTATTTGCTAAAATGGGGTTTTCTAAATTGCTGATTTTCCCCAGACCCCCAAACAGACTCTGTCATCGACTAACTTGGGAACTCGATGTCCCTTGCCATCTAATAGGCCCCCCTCTAACGCAAAATCCTCAATCCCTGCCCGAATTGAATTTGCAAATTTTTCATAGTTTACATGTAAAAATTCCTTCATATAGATTTTTAGAAAATGTTTAGCTCTTGCGAGATCTTAAAAAAATACATAAAAATAAAAGTGATGTAAGAATTCCTTTCTTTTAAATTAAGATCGAGTTGTTTGTCATTTTTCATTACTGACATTTACAGTTTATGAATATCTTTGTTAAATAGGCAGATAAACAGTACAGTAGGGGTCTTTCTGAATAAATATTGTGTTCTATGCAAATAGAATTAATTAAATACTTTAGAAATGAAAAAAACTACATATTCTCTATAACATTAAATCACCTAAGGATTTAAGGTTCTAATTTCATATATTATGTATACAGAGTGTACGTACAAGTCTTCATGTCAAAATCACGTCTAAATTTTGTTTTAACGTCTCAAAATCAGTAGCATTGATCTCATTGCCGCTTGTTTGTTTTAAAGGCTTTGCGGAAATAACTTTTTTCCAATTGATTCAGTTTTTATTGCAGTGTTTAAATTCATAACTTGATTTTCCACTTCCAATACTTTCACGAATAAGTTTAATTATGTCATGAAGTAGATGACTTATAAATTATTAATGATATGTCATATTTCCGAGTCCTTGCGTGGGAGATGTGTCCTTCATACAAACTTAAAAGTACGGAGACTTTGTGCACCAATGAGGAGTTAGCGAGCGTCACTTAACTTCAAATCGAGCCTTTTGAAATTTAAATCAAATCTTTTTTTATCATTTCTAGTAAAAAGGTATCAGTTAAAAATTTAAAAAAAAAACATTTAAAGCATTTTGCCCATTATCTTTTAAAGCAATATGAGCTGCAACTTTGATGCAAATTTTTGTTGCAAAATTGTAATTAACTATTTCAAGGACAGAGAAAAAGAACATTTATAAACGTCTATTGTTCATATTTGCGATGGAAGAACTATTTATAGGCTTAGATTGAAGCAAAACTACATTATTGTCGTCCTGTACAATATTGATTCCTTATATAATACTTTATATTTGATTGTACAGAAATCTTTCTTCTGAAACAATTTAACACTTTGTTTTGGTCTAATTGATCATAAAGGTTTAAATCACATACAAATTTATCAAAATAAGACATTTTAACAGCAAAATAAAATTCTCAAAAAATGCAGCTCATATTGCTTTAAAACAATATTAAATCAGATACGAGAATTTTTCAAAATCTGCTTAAATGCACTGAAATAAGAACTAAAAAAAAGTTTTATTACAATTGCTTCCTAAAAGCACAAAGATGAACATCATTTACACGTATTAGAAAACGGTGCTTTGAAATGATAAATAATTTACTGGTTCCAACATCTACAATGCAAAGAAAATAAAAATGTCAAATAATCCTTTAAGATATTTCAAGGGAGAGGACTTGTATAGACATTCTTGCTTGCTCTCCAATCCTACTGGAAATAAAATATTGTTTAAATCCAGGATATTTCTAATACTAAACGAGATATACAAGTATAGACGTTGGATAAATGTAATCAGATATTGGAATAGAGTTTTATCCTTTAGCAATGATCGAATTACAAGAATTGTTTTTGAAGTTGATTACAATAAGTGTAGGAATAACTGGTGCAGTGATTTGAAAGAAATATTACACCAACTAGAGCTGGATTATTATTTTGAGTCAAAGCTTATGGTAAATATAAATATGGTTCAATCAAAAATACACAATTATTATTCAAACCTTTGGAGCAATGAGATTTTAAGCATTCCTAAATTGCGGACTTACGTTTATTTTAAAACAACTTTTGGAAGGGAAAATTATGTAGTACTTGATATGCCTAAATATTTACGTTCAATTTTAGCACAATTTAGATGTGGCATTTCACCACTACGAATAGAAACCGGTAGATATCATGGGGAACCTGTTGAGGATCGAATTTGCACCTTTTGCTCTAAAAATAATGTAGAAGACGAAATTCATTTTTTATTGCATTGTCCTATGTACTCTGAATATCGTTCAAAACTTTTTGAAAACACTTGTTTTAATCAATGGCATGGTCAGATATGGATTTACTAAGTATACTTGTTTCAAATTATCCTCGACAGGTTGCAAAGTATTTATATTTTTCATTTATGCGGAGACAGTCCGTTATCTTCAGAAAATAAGAATGTATTTCAGTGTCATATTTATCTACTAATAACAGACACTACCAATCTTAGCATACAAAATACGTATATGTATATATATCACAATTATGTTTATTTACTTTTTTGTTTATCCCTTAACGTTGTGCTCTTTATTTTCTTTATATATTGTATTTCAATTTTGTGTTTAAAGTGGCATATAGGCCCGATGGGCCGGGTGTTAATTGTTATTTTATACAGTTTGTAAACAAAGGATTTGATTATGTACACATGTCACTATAAATAAATAAATTACTTACTTACTTATACAATTTCATATATTGTTTAGTTATTATCTAACTTTGCTTTAAAAAAAAGATTTCATGTAGCATATGGTTTTACGGGACATTTGCTGGCCAGAAAACTGTAATCCCCCTTTTTTATTAGCAAAATAAATGAATCTACATGTGCTAATCGTAGACTTAATGTATGATAAATTGTGAGTTGTAAAACCAAAGTAGAAGTGCAGTTTATCAGCTTAACATTCTTATTTACCTTCTTAATTAAGGCAATGAATTTCTTTTTTTTTTATGTTTCCCATTATCTTTGCATATATGTGACTGAATAACGCAATATTTGTTTTTTAAGTATTCATTCCAAATCGAATGTTTTTTTTTTACGTTGACCTTTGTCGACCCTCCTTAAATGAACCAACACGAACTCACGTTTTGAATACAAATTGTGTATCAATCATCACTTTAATTAATTATTTAATCTCTGTATAATTAAAAAAGTCGAATTACCTAGGTCTACACACGACCTGTACAATGTCTTGGCCTTCTGTACCGCTTCTATGTCATTTTCACCGTTATCTTTCTCCAGTAAATCTGTCAAATTACATAAATATTTACAATAAATCAACATACTATGAATATACTTGATTGTTTTATGTTTTCAATATACTTAACAGTATATAGATCTACTTGTATTTTTTTCTTATCTATATGCTGTGAATTGTCTGAGGTTTGAAGAAACGACTTTGAAAGAAAGAACTTTGAGCTTGAATATTGTTCGTTATCTCCATATTTCACGTAAAATGCACACCAATACAATTTTTAAGTTTATTGGTTTAATTAAAAATCAAATAAAAAGGCATATCATGCATATAAAATGCGAGACTAACATTTAAGTATGATGTCAACGGAATCGTCTACTTGGTAAAACACGCCGGTGATAGATTTATCTTCCGGAATCACCTGTTTCTTCCGGTATAACCCGCATGCATACTGAAAGAAATCGTCACATGGATCTACCGAGGTGTCTATAGCGTCAAGTAAACTTGAAGCTGAAATGAAAAGAAATCATGCTTTACAATGGAACAAAAACGTATTTTTTTAAATAATAAAAACTTTTCTGTAAATTAAGTTCAAAATCTAAAATAATTTAATATACAATGAGATACATGTAGTAATATATAGCATGTGTATGCAATGACCGGAAGCCATCACTTCCAGTAAATATAATTACCTGCTCGTACACATTCAGGTGAGTTACACACTTCTGTAAAAATAAAATAAAAACGAGTTATTGAAGACTTTAAGTTTTTTTTTTTTTTAGCAAATTCAGTCACCCAATGGGAATTAGAATGAGCGAAGAAACATGGGCTTATATGATACAGTCATACTTCGCGAAAAAATGAGCGAAAGAATGCACACCTCTTCTTATGGTTATTATGTCTGGATTTGTGGTATCCGGATTCTGTTTGTTGGCTCCGGTTTTAGATTTTACAGATGGAGTGTCGTCATCTTTTTCTCTCTGGATGACGACGACAGCCAGCGCCACCGACACTGCAATAATGGCGGCAAGGGCCAGAACCAATAGACAATACAGACGCTGGGAACCAGAGCCCTTCTTTGGATCTTTTATGCTGTAACGAAACAAAACTAATTGTTACATGAAACCGTTGCTACGGGCCTGGTTGCCAAACTCAAGCTGACATAAAGTTGCATTTTAATGCTGTAGTGCAAAAACAGAACCAGGAAAAAGACCCCATTCGATTTTAGATAACTAAAATCCACGTTTTCTAGTAATTTATTTGCCATTAAAGGTATTGCTCGTATATATTAGGATTGTAAATCAAGTTCCACAATTATATCTCACTAAATACCTTCAGATATCAGGTGTGAAGTTTTACCTGTCAATACAAACCGATTTAACAGTACAGCGGTCATCGCTTGACCTACAGCTTCTTTCATTTATGTCGCAAAAGTAATTCTCTTTATATATGATATCCGTAATTAAACATATTTATGAAGTAACAATTATTAGGAATTTTCAATAATAAAATCATGTCAAATGAACCAGTTTTTCAGGATTTTACCACTTGCAAAAATATGCGACTTTTTTATGTTAAAACATACTTCTGTTCATTAATGTATGACATCTTAAACATTGTGGCGACCGATCCATTTTCTTGGCTTATTAATCATATGAAACTAAAATTAGTTCACATTAATAAATTATACTTAAAAAAAAAACAATAAAACCACTGAAACATACATAAACAAAGGCCTAGACATAAAGCACATAAAAATGCTTGGGAATTATCAGCACAATAGATCAAAGCATAGAAAAGTTTATACATTTAAAGGACAGGGGCAAAAACAGCACATATTGACAGCACAAATACTTGAAAGTAAAAACAGTTGTTACATATAACATGGAAACACATACAGTAATTAGCAATATAACTGACACATATAAAGACAGACACAAGACAGAAAAAAAATATTATTTTTAAAAAAGTCAAAAACTGTTAGATATATTAAGTCTTAAAAATATTTCAGGTTGCTATTTTGCGTATATCATTGAGAGTATTCCAGATCTCTGTAAAAGTCTTTTTTAATATATCTGGTATTTTTAGCTCTGCACATATCTGCAATATTGACATATTAGGATTCTCTAATTACAACAAGTCATATGAGTTTTCTTAATTACAACTCTTGAAGAAAGTCAGAACTTATTTAGGAATGACTCTAATTCTTGGCCAAATTATTCGAGTATAACCTGGTTTGGGTCAGTTTACGCTGTTTTATAATCCGCTTCGCGGAACTTATTAGTTCAAATTTGCCGCTCAATTATACAACCCTAGTAACGGAAGTGATGGGAAGCGAGGGGAGGTAAAAACTGATACATAGTCCTTGGAGCCATGTTGTTTTGTTTACATGTGGTAAGATCCAAGTTACTGTTTGAAGTTAAAGGTACATTCATTAAATCTGGAATTTTCCATGAATCCCGAGGACTGGAAATGAGAGGATTGCATGGATACAGACGATTCAGCTGGTTGTCAGGGGAGGGGGGGGGGGGAGGGTGTCCACATACCAAACCAGGTTATACAGAAATAATTTGTGTTTCTTTTTGGATATTAACCAATCAGAGGCTAGAATACAAACAAAATTAAATTATTTGTTAATAATTCTAAAAAAAAGGCAAATGCATGCAATAAATTTAATTCTTTTTCTTTTTAAAAGGAAAAGCACAACAGTATATAATATTGGTGCAAGAGAGTCGAATAAGATATCGTACGAAATCTCGACGTCAACTTGACATAGGATCAATCATTCGAAATTCGTTCAATTTTGTACAGTTGTGTATTGAATAAAAATGTAGATACGATACGATACAATACTTTATATAGTTTTGTCTTTCTTTCATTGAAAAATACACATCGATCTGTTTCAAATTTTTAATATTTGTAAACCATCGTATAAAATACAGTAGTCTATGCGTAACACAATAATTATTTCAAAAAGATGTGCTATTTGCTTTATGTTTAATATTTTTAGGTCAGTTTTATTCTAAAGCAGTCAAACCTTATCTTTGATGATTTAAAATATCAACTTTTAGATATTTTTGAGATACTTTCTAATCAGTAAGGTGAAATACAAAAACTCAGATAAAGCTATAATTTTCTGACCAATTTGGGGGAGGGGGTCACTTGTCACTTTTTCCTCAATTTTTTGTGTATCTCAATAAAATGGGCAATTCATGTGTAATTACACAATTTGTGTCTCATTTTGAAAGTTCTTGAGGCTACAACGGAGACTTTTCTTCACAAAGGGCTACACAGTCTTACAATGAACTATTCAGTTTGACAAACATTACAATGTGAAGTCGGATGCCCTTTTGAACTAGATAGCAATAAATGCATGTCTCTACCCATGGCAGTGTTAGCCATCTTTGCTGCCATTTCTCTATTACGTGGGGAGGGCGGTATGCGGTATTCAGCAATTCATTTTACCAGTACATGTTTGGTCTGTTCTCAATAGAACATATGTATGTCCCCAAATAGGCAGAGACAACGAAGAAATTCTGCCATACAAAAAACTCTTACATCAGAAAATCCCTTTTGTTTAAATAGAGATCATCCTTTCTTGAGAGTTTTATGCAGGTGCAACCCCCCACGGTACTCCGTCATTAAACCTAACGATATCTCTATCCCCCACTTATATCACATGAATTTAAGTAGTAAAACATCATCCCTGTCATTCTATAAGCATTAAAGAATTAAAAACGTACAATATACATCAATGACGGACATTTATGAACTTATAAACTAATGCAAAAACAGGAATTAAGAAATATTTTCGAATACAAAATACCTGGTATATTCGGTGCTTCTTTTGTCCATTTCTGGTCATTATGTCCGACGAATGAGGCTCATAATGCGCCGTTTAATTGCACTGTTTGTTCATGATTAGTTAATCTACGTTTAAACAGATAACAGGTTAATTCCTTTTGAGTTAATGGCGACAGACTGACCGCCATACCATCCGTAGAACACGGACTTGCGATTTACCGAAAAAAAAAGATTTTAAAAAACTCCGGTTGCAGCATAAAGGAATACTGTGTGAAAATAGCCTGAACACCGTGGGCCAGTTGTATGCATACAGATGAGATATGTAAATGATTTTAAACTTGTCATTTTATAAACAAAAAAGGAGTAGGTACACCTTTACTTTTCCCCCAATGTTTTGTTAGCGTTCATCTTTGTCTGGTGGATAATTTACCACAACGTTATAGTAAAAGATCTGTCAAAACAAGCCGTTCATCATAATCAAATTACCATCCTTCCCAAAGTTAGCATCACAAGGTCGGAGTTTATAGGGACATTAGTTCAAAGCTTTTATATATACAGAATAATTTTACAATACTTATATCTAATTTTAATTTCCAAACATGTCACGCGTTTTTATGATGTATTTTTACATGTCAAGTGCCAACTCTGGAAAAAATTATCGGAATGTATGTAAGGAACGTGTTCTTTATAAAAGACAATATAGTCAGGAAATAGTGAAGCAATCAATCTTACCCTAAATGGACATCTTGGTCCGAAATAGTTAGTGATGAAGCGGTCAAATTCTGTTTACTGCTAGACATTTCCACTGGGTCTGTCCGAGGACGTGACAGGGCATCGACACGCGATCGATCTAAGACTAGGGAAGATGGAACGCGACAAGGTCACGCTTCCCTGGATACGGGGATCTTTCAGTGCCGCGTCACCTTGTGTGTGTTCTATAGAATCGTGGACAGTGAAGAACCCCGCGTCTGTCGCTTCAGTGGGTGAGGACAATTATTCCCTGGACAGGCCAGTAGATGTGACGATCTTTGCGTAGACAGATCCGTCACAAGTAAACAAAAAATGCTTTATGAATTCTAGAGCATACACACTTTTAAAGGGTTCGGTTGATGTTTGATGAATGCATTTGAGGCATGAGGTTGTATACATGTATATATAATGATTGTGTGTGTGACTTCCATCCTCTAGATTCTAGCTACTAGGCATTTTTGTTTCCAGGTAAAATAATCAATTCCAAACAAAAAAGTAAGATCACGTTCATGGGATAAAATTTTTGCGCATGCATTTATCGAGGTTTTGTTTTCCTATGATTTATAAGTCCCTGGCCGATTAATTGTATCCTGATATGTTTTGTTGTCATTTTTCATTGAAGTTTTATGATTCATAATGAATAAATACAACATTTCCACTAAGGTCACCAGGGGAAGACAAAAAACGTAATTGAAATTTTTGCAAATTTCCGTTGGAAAAGGGGGGGGGGGGCAGATTTCAGCGGAAAACTTTTTTACTTTTAATAACAAGGGAGGGTTGAATATACTGCAACAAAAACTGGAATGGGGGAAGGGGGGACGATCATCGAATAAAACTTCTTCAAAAAATAATTGACAGCAACAAGAGTCATTTAAAAGAATAAGAGTTTTCTTGGAAAGACATGAAAAAATAATATTCGAGCATCTTAATTGAATGAAAAATGGACAAAAACAGTAATCAATCTCATTAAAACAATACAAATTGGGAGCAGAGCAAACACGGACCATTAAAACCATCAGAGGTGGGATCGGATGTCATGGAGGAGTAAGCATCCCCTGTCGTATGCTCCTTGCCATGATCGGCAAAAGGAATCAAAGTACTGAAAGTACTGGGAAGCGCTAAGCATTTTGCAATTTGAAATTCATCAGAATCATTTTAAATTTAAATTGCCTGTTGTATTGAAATTTAAGCAATATCTTGACAGTGCACCTGCGCTAGGGCGAGCACAGTTGTTTATTTCATAATCAAACATGTGAGTCATGAAAATTTCCCGTTGGAATTAAATTCAACAATGTCTTAAGACTTTTTTATTTTAAGCATTTTACATTTTCTTCTTCTGTCAAAAGATCAATCAATTTCACATACATGAAATTGCAAGAAAACATTTTTCCGTTTCTTAAAAAAAAACAAACAAACAATATATACAAATTAAATGGCTGATATTTACTCCAAACAGCAATGTATTTCTCAAACCTAATAAAAAAAAAAAAAAAAAAAAACATGTAAAAATATTTTCTTTTCTCCATCTCCTTATAGGAGTCTATAAGAGGTAGCTTTGCGTATAAATCGCAATTTATCGGAGGGGATGGTCGACGAGTTTTCCGACCAAATTTAGACTATAAATGTAGCTTTACATTAATTTTTCTGGAAAATGTATATTTCTAAATAATTTTGAACACTTGAAAATGTCGCTGAAATTCCTCTCATTTATTTGCAACACCGACAGCTAAAATGTTCTGGTGATAATTTTTAATAATAAATTCATTCCGTGTGTACGAGTGTTTCAAATTGAAGACTGGCTGTTAGTGACTGTGCTTTAATTTTAGAAACTGCACTCGGAAAATAAAGATGATTTGTTTATTGCGTCGATAAATATTTCCTTATTGATAACATATTTATTTATTAAAGTTATGAATAAAACATCTCAAAAATATCGAATACTAGTATTTTCACTAAACTGTTTTAAGTATATCTCTCTTTTTTTCATATTCATAAGCGATTTATAAATTTACGATTTTATAGAAAGGATTTTACAAGAAATACATTAATGGAGTGTGTAAGATATTTACACAATCGTTACGGGCGTCCAGTATTTATGAATGATAAATAAAACATAGACTATATATTACATTTTGTTTTGAATATGCTACAGCTGTGTATTATACATTTTTAACACTTCACATTCATCGCTCTGTGCAGCATATCGGCATCATGTTTGTGACAAAACTCTCTGTCAATGAAATGAGCACCCGTAGAGTTAACGTCCTTTTATCAGAGATAATTGGTAAATATACATTTTGAGTATAAAGATATTATATTTGTCTTCTTTGATGATAAAACATTCGGTGCTATCCTTTTATCTCTGATTTTCATATACATGATTTATAATGTATTTGCAACAAAAATTGTCTTTTCTGTTGATCTCACAATATGTACATGTATATCTGATTTGTAAATATTACTTTTTTAAAATAAAAATTTCATACTTCTTCGGATTAAAAATATGTCATTAAATCCCCAAAAGTATTTTGGACTATTGTTGAAATACATGTACTTTAAAATGCTTCAGTATTTTTTTTTTATGGACGTTTGATGCTTTACACCATTCTTTACTTGTTTATTTATGATTTTAACTACCACGCAAAACGTGTTTAGAGGGAAAAAATATCCACAGCACTGTTGTGTTAGTTGAAAAGGAATACTGAAAATAATTGCCCGTAATTTTTCTGCTATTTCCATGATAAATAATTCAACAGCCCAAGAAAGAAAATACAGTATATTAATCTCAAGTATTAATAAATCTTCATGAAAGTATACAACATTGTTTTTTGTTTTTTATGTAGTCCTCATTAAGTTGCTTCGCAGTCAAATCGGCAACACGCGCACATCTTTACATAAACTATTTCTTCCTGGTTTCCTAATACGAGTATTACACTGTTTGCTTAACATTTCATCGGCGCTATTCCTGTCCATAGCTAAGAACGTTTAATTAAAGTTTTTGCATTTTTCGCCATATCTTGCGCACTGCACAAACAATTTTAAAGCACAATATTCCGAGAAATTGATTTTCTTATTTGAGTGGATTCGTTGAAAACACAGCCACCACATGCCCTACATATACGTACAGCCGCAAACTGCCTTTCCTTGAGAACTATTTACATTATATTTTTACTTATATTACAAGTATATAGAGTACAACACAAGTATAGATAGTCCATGAATGCATTCCAGTCTGTTACTAATTGATACTGAGATGCGAAAATCAACTTCATTGATAGCTCTCTCATGGTGCAAGGGTGATAATAGGAAGACTTGTTTTAGTTACATTGCCTGAAATAAGGGTCTAGAAGAAGATATAATAGTTTATACGGTATAAGTTATATAGAACGTACATATGTTAGTATTTTGTAAATCAATTTTATGCGAAATTTTCTACTAAATAACTCAATTTCAGTTTGAGTTTTAAATACTTATTAAAATCCCATCTGAGTTTTAAAAGTATGTACTTATTCAATCATTACATTACATGTACATGACATATACATGTAATAAACCGTTTTCAATTAAGTATTTGGGCCATAGATGCAGCAGTTGTAAGCTACATGGTACACAAGTGATGAGTGCCGAAACGATTTTAAATGAACTACAATGTATAGAGATAAGCATGACAAGAACCACCCTTATCTACTAACAGTGGATTTTCGTACAATGTACATGCATATCTTTACCTAGCTAATTGACTCCTATTATTAGAACTGCACGTAATTCAGTATTACACTAAAATAGCCGAAAGAGAGTCGGGAATTTCCAGTGGCATATTTTTAGAAAACCCAGTGGAGTTATCTAACTTGCTTAGTGGCGCTGGATCGCGAACGGAAGTAGATTTAAGATGACAGTAAGCGCTTTGCGCTGCGCTTAGCGCTTAAAAATCCTTAGACAATTCAGTGTGTTTATTTCTTGTTTATATGCTTTTTGTTTAACGCCCCTCTAGAGAATTGGAGACGCCATCACTTGCCGGTTGAGGGCTGCAAAGTTAGACCTATACTCGGCACTCAGGGCCATTGAAAACAGTGAGGGATCTTTTTCGTGCCAGCACTTTCTGCGACACAGTACCTCGGTTTATACGGTCTCATCAGAAGGACCGACAATTCAGTGTGTAAATAATACCCTAACAATTAGTATGAAAAACGTCATTCAGCATTCGACTTAATGATAGATTGTATTTACTGACAAGGTCATTGTTTCGAACCATAGAACTTACGAAATGATGACTTCAAACGAGACTGTTGATATCCTTGTTTCATCAACATGTTGGTCAATAGATTGGTTAGTTTTAGGAATTGTTCGTACGTACGGCATGCTAGCATGCTCTTGCGAATCGACTCAACTGGGAGACATAAACTGCATATGTAGGTGATAAGGATATATTGCTACACAAATAAGAGAAGTTGACGATAGAAAGTGGAAGTCATTATTTACGTTTATTATAACGTTTTATTTTTAGGTTAGCATTAACGTCTTTTTCTAGTTAAATATCCAGACATGAAGCAGATGTGTCAGATTCTGTGGTAACTTTTATGGAATATATTGCGTCGACATATGAATGGATGTAATTATTGTTAATTGATAATATGTCGTCTATATATCCAAATTCGAGTTGAAGGCCAATCAAGTGTTTTCTTCTTCTCTTGTATAAGTTTTTGAAAAAATTTTGCAACATCTATGCTTAATTTATAAATTATAAAATTTTGCAAATAAACTCCGAAACGGGTACATCAGAGTTCTTACTTACTCCTCTAACAATACACTAGATACAAGATGATGTCCGTAAACTATATTTAGATTTCACTCGCATAGTAAGTATTGTATATTAAATCAAAAGTCTACTTTCATTTTCTATAAACAGCCATGTAATAGCAAAAACGTGAGTACGGTGGCGGTTCCGGTTGGCGGATCTAAGTTACTGGCAATTTTTAATGAAACCGAAACTTAATACCGACGGAAGCTTCTAGAACATCTTTTAGCATCAAAAAGAAAAAAAAGAGGCACTTCATATTACATGTAAATAATGTCAATCAGAAACTCAAGCATCTTTTTAATATATTGCGTGTACAATCAGAATAGCTTTTAACCATTCATTTGTTGTGGTTTGTTTAAAGAATTTAATAGTTGCCCAAATTATACTTTATAAACTGGGTTGGGGCAGTGTTACAACGCAACATGTTATAACGATGCAAAATATAATAACATTTTGGGTTATCACATTTTGCTTCGTAATCAATACAGAATGTGATAGAACAAATTGTAATAGCACACTTC